CAGGGCCCACTGTTTATCAACACAGCTGTACAACTTTCCTACTCTATGGACCCTGAACTTTCCTTCAGATATTAATTCTTTTTAAACAAAAAAAAATCTATTTTGAATTAAAAAAATAAAAAATTGTATAAAAGAAACATTAAAAAAAACGTAAATATGCTCCTAAAATAAACACAACAAATCTAGGGTCCGGTTTGCTAAATCAGCTGGTAGGCCCATGGAAAAAATTACCAAAATAAAATTTGTACTGTGACCGAGTTCAGTGTAGATAGATAGATAGAATCATATCTATAAGCGGGCCGTGGTTAGATGGGTTAACTGTGATGCTACAATATAATACTTACGAAATAATCCTGCTTGAAACAAAGACAATATAGAAGAAGTTATTCAGTTTCCATGTTTTTTAGGACACCCTGAACTAATAATAATTCGATGAAATGTTTTAAGGTGAGCAAGAAGAAGCTACAGAAGCAGAAGATTGCCGCGAGCAGGAGCGAGGGCGGCATGTAGAGAAGAATCAGCTTAAATCTGATTTGTTATTTTTCAGTGTTAATAAATCCTTACAGCCATTCTACTGATGGATTTTGTGTTCGTGTACATGAATTTTCTTCTCTTGAAATCCTCACATACAGCTATTCTACGGATAGATTTTGTGGGCGTGTACATTTATTTTCTTCTCCCATGCAATCCCTTCAATCTTTTGAAGAAGGTTGCAATTAATAAAAGATTTTACTGTATTGCAAAATACATTTTTTTTCAATTGCTCGCGTTGTCCTGTAGTTTTTTTTTATATATTTTACTTTCAATTCTACGTATTGTATATCAAATCACAATTTTAGGGGAACAATGCAGATGCAATTATTCACTTAAAAATATAAAAAGTAAATAAAAAAAAGAATTGGGAATAATGCCGAGTATCCCAGGAAACATGACAATTAATGCATGACATAGTTTAGACCAGATTCCACATTTTTTAGATAACATTTCTTAAAAGTTTGGAACAGTGCCAACTTTGATCTATTTATTTAGAAAAAAATTCCACGTTTTTGGATTAAATTTCATCATATCAGATTACTCTTAGATCAATTAATGTGGAATCTAGAGATCTTGGTCAATCTCTATTCAGCTCATAAAGGTCTAGCATAAGTGCTCCATACTGTAAACTTTATTAACAATGTATTCCTAGATAATTTTATTTATAAAAGGTTTACAAAGGACTCTGTCAGTTAATAATTTATTTGTAGTAATCCAACAGATGATTACTTAAATAGTGAAATATATAATAACTAGAAATTCAAGGCGCTTCGCGCCCTTCTTTCTAGCCTTAGAGGGCGCTTCGCGCCCATCTTCTAAATTAATTGTGAACATGTTCTCTTTGTGTACATCGTATAACAAAAAAAAATAATTCGCGGATTTTTACAAAAAAGTTCG